TGCGTGAGACCTGCATTTTCTCCCCATACCCTCTACGATCTTTTCATGCCTAGTGTTCCAGTTCTTAATGGCCATAACAATGGGATGTAATACAATTTTTTCTCTTCAAACTCTTGTTTGTTTGGGTTTTTTTTTTTTTTTTTGCTACTAAGAATCAAACACAAACTCATGCTCACCAGGCAGGTGCTGTGCTGTTGAGCTATATCCCGAGTCCAAAACTCTTGGGTTTTTTTTTTCACTCAGTTCTTGAATTTTTGTAAGTGACATATATAAATTTTATGCAAAAGATTAAAAAATTGCAGTCTTTGGCATAAATGTATTAACATATATATTTTCATTTTTTTGTGTATGTGTATGTGTGTGTTATATAGTACCTTTTCAATGGGTGTGAATTGATACTTCATTATGCTTTTGATTTTCATTCTCATAATAATGAAACTGAACATTTTTTCCATATGCCTATTTTATATCTTCTTTGTATATCATCTTCTTTGGAGCACTGTTCAATCATTTGCCAGTTTTATAATCAGGCTGTTTATTTTATGTTACTGTGCTTGGAGGAACTGAGTCTAGCTAACGTTGACACGGTTGGCCTGCAGCTTCTGAGCTGCAGCCAGTCTCCCATGCCAGCAGTGAGCTGTGTGGTGGGTGCTGTTGAGTTGTAGGCAATCAGTACGTGTGTATTTCCCCACCCACACTGAACATGGTCCCTGCGCAGCGTATGTGATGTGCAAGTATTTTGTCCCAATCTGTGGGTTGCCTTTTGACCGTTTTAATTGTGTCTTTAGGTGCACAGAGGATTTCACTGTTGACGTACTTTCATCCCTGTATTTCTTTCCTTTTTTTTTTTTTTTTTTTTTGCTTTAAACAATTTATTTAACTGAAATGGACTTCCATTTATTTAACTGAAGTTAATAATCTCCATTTATTTTGATACATCTTTTCCCCATGGTGATTTATAGGATCTTCAAGCCAATATATTTTATTTATTTATTTTTGTGTCTTTTTTGAGACAGGGCCTCGCTATGCAGTTCATGCTGGCCTTCAGCTTACTTTGTAGCCCAGGCTGGTCTCGAACTCACAATGATCCTCCTGCCTCAGCCTCCCAAGTGCTGGGATTACAGGCATGCGCCACCACGCCCGGCTGTTTTCAAGCCAATATAAATATTTTATAAATATGTGGTCATCTGGGTATATACCTATGCAATACCTCAGCAATATCTTTTAACAAGGAAAACGCTAAGGAGTAAAGACCTGATTCAATTAACTAGGTAGAATGAAAGTCTGCTCCAAATGTTTGTTTCTGAGGAAAGCCACTACACACCTGTTCAATTAGGAAAACCACTCTTACAACACAGGATGATTTTTTCTGTTTAAATAGAGCCTAGAACACCTCGCGGCAATTAGGCGCTGAATGGCAGAGCTCCATCCCTGGTAAAGCCATGAATTCATAGGGAACAGGTTCCAGCAACTCAGGCTCCTTCCCATTGGTTCTCACAAAGTGCTTCTCTGGGCATGGCAGGCTGGCACTTCGGCTGAACCCAGATACCTTTCTCTTCAGCTTCCTTCATTTTCTGATCATTTCCTTGACACAAGTCAGGAAGCCATCTTGACTCTTTGAGTGTTTAATATGCTCAGTACAAACACAATCCTCTTGGCAAGTATCTTGCCCTTAACTTGCTTGTTTACAGCAATGCCAGTGTCATGCTGGGTAGCACTGTAGACTCTTCCATTTTGCCGTGGTAACATTTGTGTGGCATTCCTTTTTGCACAGTACCCATTCCCTTGATGGCTACAGTATTACCCTTTTTGGAGATTGGCATGTATGTGGCCAAAGGAACAACTTCATGTTTTCTAAAAAGCCTAGAGAACATATCCCAGAGGGCCAGGGTTATAGTTCAGTGGCATAAGCGCCCGCCTGGCAAGTGCAAGGTCCTGAGTTTGATTCCCAATACAAAAAAAAAAAAACCGAGAACATGTACCAGGTTCTCCTCCTGCTTCCCTTTGTGTTCACCATTCTGGCAAATTACCAGAAGGTGGACGTTTCAGCCAAAAGAAAGCTTCTTTCATTCTTTAGCTTTAGTTATCGCTCAAGAAATCCCTTCCGCATTTAGTATTGCAAAGTAAAGCTTTTCCTTCTTAGAGTTTTATAATTAGCTATTTTATTTTATTTTATTTTGTTTTATTTTACTTTGAGTACTTGGATTGAACCTAGGGTCTTCACACTGAGTTACATCCCCAGCCCGTTTTTTATTTTAGGACAGGGTTGCCCTGAGTTCTTAAATTTCTCAGACGAGGCTCAAACTTGTGATATGCTTGCCTCATCCTCCCTTAGTGCTGAGTTTAAAAGCTTGTACCGTCATGCCAGGCTTGACTTAACTTTTCTGTGTGATGTAACAAAAGCCCTGGTGGGGGCCTGGGGGAGAGGTAGGATAGAAGAAATAAAAGATAGGTAGAAAGAAGACAAAGTAATCCTAACGAAAAGGTTGTACCTTGTACCTTTAAGGAGACTGCAGCTTGCGGAAAGCAGTGGAAGTTGCCCACGTACAGACCAGCATTCCTCTGATTAAATTTAGGCTCCTTCCCTGCCAGGCCCATCACACCCCAAATTCCTCACGTACACTAAACATCCATAAATTGGCTTACTTGAGAAAGCAGGAACCTGATCTCGAGATAAAGGAGGACATTCAGCACAACAAAGAATACTTAATTTCTGACACACAGGGGAAGGGAAAAACAGAGACCACTAAGCTTGTAAAAAGGCAGCACTGCTTGGAATTTATTGTGCCTGGATGCAGGCAGAAGTGAGATAAGACAGTGAACAGAGAACAAAGAGAAGCGTGTCCTTTTTTACAGGGGTGAGCAGAAGGCAGGGGACGTCACGCAGGAAGATTCCCGCAAACATCTGTGGCCAAAGTTCTCTGGCAGTCTTGCGTCTCAGTGGGCAGAGTCCTTGAAATGTCCTGTGTAAATCTGAGGGTGTCTCCAGAAGCCCAAGGACCTGCAGAATTCCTTGTCCTATCTTATCTCCTTTCCTGTGCTTGTTGATGACAGCTGTGGTCCAGAGCCGAGTTCTCTGCTCAGAGCTGAATCCCCTGGAGACAGTGTGCTTCTGCTGGCAGGCAGGTTGGGGGCTGGGAGAGTCAGGTCTGATTCAAACCTTGCAACAGTGCCTACGCAGGGGAGGGAAGCGCCCATACCCACAGAATGGCTGATACTCTTGTGGGGGTGGCCGCCTTTTCCTAGGCTTTTCTGTCCCTTCAAGAAAATATAAATGTTCTCAGTTCCAAACTGTAATATGTCCCATTTCTCTGAGTGCCTGCACTAAACCTTCCTGCTAGGCATGGTGGCGCACCCGTGTAATCCCAGTACTCAGGAGGCTGAGGCAGGAGGACTGTTGCGAGTTTGAGGCCAGCCTGAGCTACATAAGTGAGCTCAAAGCCAGCCTGAACTGCATGGCAAGACCCTGTTGCAAAAAGACAAAAAACAACAACAAAACAAAACAACAAAACACCAAAAACCTTCTTAAGCACTCTTACTGATGCATCCTAAAGTCCCCTCCCATGTCCCCCTCAACAAGAGTCAGCAATCCTGCTACACTACAGTGGATTAAATTCTTTCTTTCGGGATGTTCTTTTCTGAGACGGGGTCTCACTATGTAGTTCAGGCTCACCTTGAGCTCACTTTGCAGCCCAGGCTCACCTTGAACTTGTAGCAATCCTCCTGCCTCAGCCTCCTGAGTGCTGGGATTACAGTCAAGGGACACCATTCCTGGCCTTCTGTAATTTTTTGAGACAGGATCTTCCTGTGTAGTCCAAGGTACGTCAAACTCATTGTGTAGCCCAGGCTGGCCTCCAACTCAGAGTGATCCTCCAATCTCAGCCTCCCTAGTGTTATAGGCAGCTGAGTTAGATAGAAATAATACAGGCAGTCAGGCAGGGCCAGGCCCTCGAATGAGCCCACACAGAAGACAAGATACCTTGCAAATAGAGATACATTTGCTGTGGGCCAGACCTCAAGACAAAAGACTAAACAGATGCACCCACATACCTCCCTAGGTATGGGCATCAGGGATTGATATTCTAAATAGGTAGCAGTCACCTTGAAAAAGCCAGGAAGAGTCACTAGCCCAACCCCCGACAGGAAAAGCCCCTGTTCTGTATTCACGCCTGCTCTCTATGTGACTCACTTCCTCATTTGATCCCAATTTAATCAATTTTACCTGAACAATTACACTTGTAATCTTATCGGCTGACCATAGTTTTGTCCCACCTCCTGCCCACCTTGTAATTTCCCACTTTCCCCCTATCTTGGACCCGCCTCGTGTCATGTTTTTGCTCTATAAAGTCCCTACGAAGGGTAAGGTCCTTGGTAACCCACTCGTGCCCCCTTCTGTCCCTCTCTGGACAGAAGCTTTCTTTCCCTCAATAAATATGTTCTGCTCTTAACCTCCGTTGTTCCTGAAATTCACTCTTCGATTTTAGAGAACACGAACTCTTCCCAGATACTGTTCAGGTCGGGAGTTTCTGTCTCCCTGTATCACTAGTGCTGGGATTAGAGATGTGTGCCGCCATACCCAGCGGTTAAACTCCTCCTTTCAGGCGGCCTCAGGCCCAGCCTAGTGAAAGGTCGGTTTTGTTTTGTTTTTATGGTAATGGGGATTGAATTCAGAGATACTCTTTTTCAATTTTTCTATTTTTAATGTTAGTTATATCCACAGCCCTCTTATAGTTAAATTTGATTCAGGATCTCGCTAAACTGTACAGCCTGGCCTGGAACTTGCTATCTTTCGGTATCAGCCTCCTGAGTAGCTTGGATTTTCGGTATTTACTGCTGCTCCCAGTTCTAATTTCATTATATTTCTGTGGATATCTAATTTTCCAACACCATATGTTGAAGAGAGATTCCTTTTCCTATTATTGGTTTTAGCACTTCTGTCAAAATCCTTTGCCCACATGCTGTGGTTTGTTTTGTTTTGTTTTGTTTTGTTTTGGTACCAGGAATTGAACTCAGGACCTTGTGCTGCTGGGCAGGTGCTGTGCTGCTGAGCTGTTTCCGTGGCCCCACATCCAGCAGTTTGTGTTTGTGCCCTCTGTTCTATTCTCTTGGTATGTATAGACCTCACTTTTTTGTGTGCATGGGTGAGCCCGGGACCTTGTACTTCACTTCCTAGGCAAGTGCTGTACCCTAGAAATATACCACCAGTGCAGGGGACTCCATTGCCAGGGAGGGAGTCCAGCATTTTTCTTTATAAACCTGCCACAGGAATAGTAGTGCCAGAGTAAGGAGCCTTACATGTCGTGTAAGTGTAGTGAAGCAATACGCAAAGGTGGGAAAGACGCCCCAGGTGGAGTGAACTGCCCCCAGTGCAGGGCGGGGAAATAACAGAGCAAATCCTTCCCGATGCCTGTGGCCTTGCACCTTTGTCTTTCAAGATCCTTTCCCCTTGTGGACGGTGTGAGTTCTTGGTAGGCGAGTGTATTCATTACTGAAATTGCTGAGGAGTTCTGTCCTCCTCTCTTGTTTGTTATGTGCTTTTGCCAGACATGCTTCTTGAACATTTTTTTCTGGACCATTTACTTGTTTGCTTATTTGGTATAGATAATAACTTCAAATGGCAAAAAGTTAAACAAAAGTCACAGAGATGAGCCACCTTTGTCCTGCAGCTTTCACCTCTGATGTCAGGACCTTTCTGTATCATCATTTCTGAGCAGTTCTTCCTTTCCTGTTACTTTTTTTTGTGTGTGTGTGGTACTGGGGATTGAACTCACGACCTTGTGGTTGCCCAGCAGGCGCTTATGCCGCTGAGCTAAATCCCCAGCCCCTCCTTTCCTGTTACTTCTTACTTCAGAACAGTTCTCACTTTACAGAAATACTCCTGCCTCAAATATTGGAGGAACCGCACACAGAATTTACCCTGCAGTAACGTTTTATATGAGTCTGGTACATTTTTTACAGTTAATGTGCCAATACTGGTATATTAGTATTAACTAAAGTTGATAGCTGATTTAGTTGCCTTCAGTTTCTCCGAGGTATCCTTTTTCTGCTCCTGAGTCTAACCCAGGCTAGCACATTATATTTAGCTGTCTCGTCTCTCACCCTCCTGAGAAAAAATAAGGCCAGTTGTTCAGGCTTTATTTCTGATGTTTTTAACCACTGTGGTTACTGGTTAGGTGTGCGTAAACATCTCTTTCATGAAGGATTTCAGAACACTCATCCATAGATCAGATAGCTGAAAATTCACAGTCTTTTCATTCCTTTTCCGTGGTGCCAGGGATTGAACCCAAACACTAGCAAGCTCTACCACCGAGCTATATGCCCAGACCATTAGCAGTCACTCCTTGTTTGCTCTTTTTCCATCCCCTGAGAATCATTAAAACACTTTTTGTCTGGGTGGATCAGCCTATTCTAAACATTTCATATAAATGGAATCAGATCATGTGTGATATTGGGGTTTGCATTTTTTTCTGCTTAGCGTGTACTCAGTACATTCATGGTGTAGCGTTGTTATTTTTATGTCTGAACGATGTAGCGTATTTATTGACCTTGTTCTGAGGCAAGCTCTCACTATGTAGTGCAGGCTGCTCTTCAGCTTGTTTGTGCAGCCCAGGCTGGCCTCGAGCTCATGGCGATCCTCCTGCCTCAGCCTCCCAAGTTCTGGGTATTTAACCTTTCATCAGCTCATGGGTCACTGATATATTTCTACTTTTTAACTATTTTCAATAAGGCTTCTCTGAAATTTCAAGTTTTTGCATGGATGTATTTTCTCTTTTCATTTGGTAATATAGTGAAGTTATGAATTATACTTCTTGTGGTAACTTTATGGTTATATTTTTAACTTTGCCCAACTCTATTTTAAAGTAGATGCACTCTTTTACAATTCTATCAGAATGTATAAAGGGTTCAGTTTCCAGCTTTTTAATTTTCTCTACAATGTACAAACTGTCTCTGTCTCTGTCTCTCTCTCTGTCTCTCTCTCTCTGTCTCTCTCTGTCTCTCTCTCTCTCTCTCTCTCTCCCCTCTCCCTCCCTCTCCCTCCCTCTCCCTCCCTCTACTCTTTCTGTTTGGTTTTGTGGCCACGACTGAAACCCAAGGTCCTATGCATGCTACAGAATTATGCTAGATGCTCCAGGGGTGGTGATGCTCATCTGTAATCCCAGCACTCAGGAGGTTGAGGCAGGAGAATCAACTCCAATTTGAGTCCATTCTGGACCACACAGTGAGTTGAAGACTAGCCTGAACTATATAGTGAGACCCATTCTAAAAACACAGCCTCCCTAAAGAAAAAAATGACAGAGCGGCACATTAAACCTGAGCTTCGCCCCTAGACCCCTCTATTAACTTTTTACATTCAATCCTAGGGATAGCTCATTGTGCTATTCATTTATTTTTCCCTAAAGACAGAGAGTGGTGTGCATTTTTCCTTGGACTGGCTGACTGTTTTTTTTTTTCACACAGGGTCTTGCTATGTCATTCAGACTGGCCTGGAACTCTCGATGGAGCCCGGGCTGGCCTTACAAGTGCTCGGATTCGAGGTGTGCACCCCCACCCCAGAGGTTAAATTCCTTCTTTCAGGGGACCTTCACACTCAATCTGGTGAAAGGCCTGAGGTCATTGTTCTTTTGCTTTGGTTTTGTGATACTGGCGATTGCTCAAGTATTTGTAAGGTTTTTGTTTTTTTTAGCTAGGTATTTAAATTCTGTGACCATTTAAAAAAAAACAGGAAGTCTTTTTTAGAAGTCTTTGCATATTCTAGATATGAATACTTCTATAGCCTAAGAGGGGTTTTTTTCGGTCTTTTTTTCTTTTTTTCCTTCGATACCGATTTCCTTCAAACACACGACCTCGCACTTGCTGGGCAGGCGCTGTGCCGCTTAGCTAAATCCCCAGGCCCTTTTTCAGTCTTTTTGAGACAAGGTCTCACTATGTAGTTCAGGCTGGTCTTGAATTCACTTTGTAGCCCAGGCTCCTAAGAGCTTTATGAGTGGCAAATACTTTCTCCCATCCTGCTTTTGTCTTTTTTACTTCCTTAATAATGTCCTTTGAAGCACAGCTGTTTATTTTCCTTTTTTGTCAGGGGAAGGCCTCACTATGTCCAGTTCACTCTGGCTGGCTCTGAATTCACTGGGTAGCCCAGTTGGTGTCAAACTCTCCGTGTGCCTCCCACCTCAGACTCCAGCTCACTGAGATTACGGGCGTGTACCACCGAACCTAGCACAACTTCTTTTTTAATTGTGATGAAATTCAGCTTATTTATTATTTTTAGTTGCTTGTGTCTAAGAAATCATTGTCTCATCTAAGTTCTTAACAATATACATTTTGGTTTCCTGCTAAGTGATTTATATTTTAAGCTGTTTAGGTAAGACCCATTTAAAAATTCACTGTTGTATATTTTGGGATGCAGGGGTTCTAATCAGTTTGCAAATTGTCCAGTCTATAGAGAACAGTTTTATTCCACACTTGGTGTGCTTTAAGCTTACGTCTTGAAGAGTTTGGCTTGGGGTTAAATATTTACTAGGGAAATAGTAGAATGGTTGAGGATACAGCAAGGCCTAGCATCATTTTTATGGCAGAATATACCGGCAGAATCTCCTTTTCTATATCTTTTTTGACTCTCCAGTTGAAGACCAGCATGAACTGCATAGTAGGATCCTCTCACAAAAAGAAAAAAAAGTGAAAAAAAAACCAGGTCTGTTATCTGACATAAGCTTTTCTCTCTGAAGAGATCAGCAAGGCAAATGGCAGTTGACTTTGGCCTGTGTGTAAGGCTCAGGGAACCCATCGGACCCTTTTTAGAACCCAAAGACCAGTTCTTAATTCAATAGAACACGCAGGGGATTATGAGGAAGAGAGTCAGAATCTCAAAAAGGGAGATGAACAGAAAGTGTGAAAGAGAGGTCCAAGACACAAGATAATCAAGTACAGTAGAGTTGAAAATTAAATATAATTGTATCAGTACACTACTTACGTTTTAATTACAACACAATATCATGGTCAGGGAAAAAAGTTCAAAGCCCTAAAAAGAAGTAAAATGTAGAAACAATTCTCTAATGGTCACATCCAAGGAAAACCTAGGAGGCAGGATTATAACGAGCACACATGCAATGTGCGGTGCCTTGCAGTGGAACAGGGACATTAGGAAAAACAGGGAATATTAATAAGACTAGAGCAACAGTACAGCAAGGATGTACCCAGTTCTCAGTTTCAGCTGAAGATCGATGGTAATGTTCCTTGCAAATTTGACAGCCAGCACTTTCTATACTGCTTACACTGTGCAGTATGTCCCATTCTAAATTTGTTTAACTCTTTTGATTCTCAGAATATTGTGTGACAGAGACACAGTCCCTTTCAACTCTGCAGAGGAGGAAAGCGGTGAAGAGAAAGAGAAGTAAGCAGGCCAAGGGAACAGTGCAGCCTCCCATCACAGATCCAAATCGAAGGAGACTGAGTCTCCCTGCACGACTTTCATCATTACAGAGGTGAGTAGCATTCACATTTTTTTCAATATAAAACCAAACATATTTACATGCTGCACTTTCAAAGTTTAATTTCACATTTTACTGTCAACTGGCTTCCAAGATCAGAGTGAAATTTCATGTTGCTTTATACAACTATATAAAAACGAAGTACTAGAAATTGCAGGGTTGTTTGTAGGTCAAAAATGATTGAAACCAGCCGTGGTGGCGCATGCCTGCTGTCCCCGTACCCAGAAGGCTAAGGCAGAAGGATTGCTGGGAATTCATGGCCAGCCAGGGCTACATAGGAAAACCCTGTTTTAAAAAGACAGAAAAGCATGCTGGGCATGGTGGCACACACCTGTAATCCTAGCACTCGGGAGGCTGAGGCAGGAGGATCATTGTGAGTTCCAGACCAGCCTGGGCTACAAAGTGAGCTCAAGGCCAGCCTGAGCCACATAGTGAGACCCTGTCTCAGAAAGACAAAAAAAAGAAAAAGAAAAAAAATGGAATACTGAAGTTATTTTCAGGGACTGGGCTTGAACCCAGGCCCTCATTTTGTCTAGGCAAGCCCTTTCCCGCTGACCTGCATCACCAGTTCCAGAGCTGTACAGCTGGACGCATGCACATTGCACAGCGCAGCGCGCGCCTAGTGATGTGGCACCGAGTACTGAGGGGTGGACGGCGGCACGAGGGCAGGCCAGGCGCGTTGGCGTGGGTCAGAACCCACATAACTCGCGTCTGCGCAGCCTGCAGTCCTGCTTGGTCCCACCTGCAGGACTCGGCGAACCTGGGCGTGAGCCCCTCTGCTGCGCAGAACCGGGTCTCACCTGCGGGAGTAGCGCGGCCGCGGCGCGTCGTGCCGAGTTGGACCCGTGGGGCGGCGGTCCTGTCCGGCCGGGACCTTTGTCCTCCGGTCTGAAGGGGTCTTTGTGGGCTGAGGCTGGGGAGGGTTCGGGCGAGGTTCTGAGGCCCGCGAGCAGGGTAGGTCCAGGGTCCCCAGGATGTGGGTGTCGTGGGAAGGAGCCCCGGAACACGGCAGGTGTCGGGAGCGCAGGGTCCCCAGAATGTGGGGATCGTGGGCCCGGCCCCAGAACAGGCACCCCTTGTCTGCTCTGCAGCTTTGCGCCCCATGCTCCCTTGTGTCACTTGAAAGCTGTCTCCAAAGCTGCTTTTCAGTTTGGGATTTCCTGTTTTATCTGACTACACACCGTCCAAATAACTCATTTTCTTTTCTTTTTCTTTTCTTGTTTTTTGTTCTTTTTTTGTTTTTTTCCGGAACAGAGAATTGAACACATGGCCTTGCGCTTGCCAAGCAGGAGCTGTGCCGCTGAGCTAAACCCCCAGCCCCCAAATAACTCATTTTCAAATCAGGGCCAGTCACTCCTCGTGTAGTGTAACTCCCCCTGTGCACATAGCTTCTAATATCTATTTTCCTGATGTGAGAATTTCAAAGTTGTATTGACATTAATTTTTTTTATTTTATTATTTTATTAATTTTTTTTTTTTTTTTTACTGGGAATCCAACTCAGGACCTTGCACTTGCCAGGCAGGCACTTGTGCTGCTGAGCTGTATCCCCAGCCCTGTACTGACATTAATAAAGACTCCAGGATTCTTCTTAACAGCCCCTCTTTTTGTATGGGGTCTCACTGTGTAGCCCAGGCTCGCCTCAAAACAGAGTGCTGGAATTACATGTGTGCATTACCACACCCAGCCTTACTGGAATTTTTAAATTACTGCTTCTGATATTTTTTTCTCTTTTACCATATATGTCTGTTGGTTTCCGAACAAGAGACCTTAATAGTAAAAGTTCTTTTTTTAAAAAACTTTATAGATTTGTTTCCTTAAAGGAATTCATCACAAGCATTAAGATTTTTCAAATTGGGAACCTGGGTGTGGTGGCGCACACCTGTAATCCCAGCACTTGGGAGGCTGAGGCAGGAGGATCGTTGTGAGTTCAAGGCCAGCCTGAACTGCCTAGGGAAACCCTGTCTCAAAAAGACAAAAAAAAAAAAGATTTTTCAAATGGAAATTGACCATGACACTTGGGTTGCCTTGCCTGCCCTTCTGGGTGCAGTGCAATAGTCTCCAGTGTCTTTGTTCTTTTTTTCCCAGGAATCCAACTTAGAATCTTGTGCTTGCCAGGTAGGCGCTGTGCCACTGAGCTACATCCCCGGCCCAGCAGTCTCCAATTTCTAAGGATGACAACCTACAACTGTGCCCTTATCATCCCCTATGTGTGCAGGCAAGGCAGCTTCTATTCAGCATGTGTGGGTCGTACACATAACCCTGGCCCGCCTGCCGCTTGCTGAAGCACGTGACACTCCTGGACTTGACAGTGGTTGGGCAGCATCCTTCCCTTGTCGGGGCTAGAGACTGGGATCATTCATTGCTTTGTGGCTAACCCAAACTCACGGTAAAGAAACCCAAGATAATTTTGAATATTGTTTGAAAGAGTTCCAACCTGTCTGTGAAAAGTAATTTAAGCCAGATGTGGGGGCTCAGGCCTGTAATCCCAGCACTCAGGTGGCTGAGGTAGGAGGACTGTGGGAAGTTGGAGGCCAGGCTAGGTTACATAGTGAGTTCAAGGCCAGCCTCACTATGTAGCACAGCCTTGTCTCAAAGCAACCGCAAAAAATTTAGAATATTAACTTCCATTAATCTGTTTTTGCCAGAGTTATAAAGACAAATACTGAATGTTTTCTCCTACATGTAAAACTTTAAAGAAAAAAAGATTAGAAAATAGAAGGGGGAAAAAAAAGAAAATGGGGGCCAGAGATATAGTTCAGTGGCATAAGTGCCTGCCTGGCAAGTGCAAGGTCCTGAGTTCGATTCCCGGTACCAAAAAAAAAAAAAAGAAAGAAAGAAAGAAAGAAAGAAAAAAAAGAAAGAAAATGGAAGGGCAATTAATTTAAAAGGGGAAGACTACAACCAAGGTGGGCTGAAAAAGAGTGTTAGGGAGGGTGGATAATACCAAACAGGTGATGTACACATGGGAATGTCACAATGAAATTCATTAGTTTGTACAGTTTTGATGTTCAAATAATTAAAAATTAAGTTGTCTTAATGTTATGGGTACCTTAGGATGTGTGTGCTTGCATCTTTATATGAAATGCTAGGATAACTTGTATCATATGTGAAGTTTATCCTTAGCAAGTTATTCTTGCCCTTTGATTGACTTCAATTTTTACTGAGTGTCTATGCACTTTGTAGCTCTCTTCTTTTTTTTCTTTTTTTTTTTTTTTTTTGTCTTTTTGAGACAGGGTCTCACTCTGCAGTTCAGACTGGCCTTGACCTCACCTTGTAGCCCAGGCTGGTCTGGAACTCACAACGATCCTCTTCCCTCAGCCTCCCGAGTGCTAGGATTACAGGTGTGCGCCACCACGCCCAGCCTATCTTCTTTTCTCTTATATTTTCACATTAATTTTTCCTGCTTTTCTATTTGATTCAATTTTTTTTTGTTTGTTTGTTTTCCCCAGTACCGGGAATCAAGCTCACAACCTCGTACTTGCCAGGCAGGCGCTGTGCCGCTGAGCTAAACCCCCAGCCCCTATTTGATTCAATTTAAATTGATTACTTCTTTTTTTTTTCTTTTTGTCTTTTTTTTTTCCGGTACTGGGAATCGAACTCATGACCTCACGCTTGCCAGGCAGGCACTTGTGCTGCTGAGCTATATCCCTGGCCCTCTTTTTGTCTTTTTGAGACTGTTTCATTATGTAGTTCAGGCTGCCCTGGAACTTACTTTGTAGCCTCCAACTCATGTCGATCCTCCTGCCTCAGCCTCCCAAGTTCTGGGTTTACAGGTGTGTACCACCATGCCCAGTGATTGTATCATTTTATCTATAATTGTTTGAAATAGCTGAGGACCATTGGGCATGGTGGTGCTCACCTGTAGTCTCAGCACTTGGGAGGCTGAGGCAGGAGGATTGTTGCGAGTTGAAGGTGAGCCTCGGCTACAAAGTGAGCTCAACCCTTTTTTTTTTCCCCGGTACCAGGAATTGAACTCAGGATCTTGTGCTTGCCAGGCAGGCACTTGTGCTGCTGAGCTGTATCCCCAGCCCCCAAGGTCTCTGTTTTGTGCAGGGAATAATTGGCTCAGTGTTAGATCATTTTTTAATTTTTTTGAGATAGGGTTTCACTGTGCAGTTCAGGGTGGCCTTGAACTCACATCATAGCCCAAGCTGGTCTGGAACTCACAGCCAGCCTCCTGCCTCAGCCTCCCAAGTGCTGATATTATAAGTGTGTGCCACCAAATCTGGCTCAAGCGGGCATGGTGGCACACACCTGTAATCTGAACACTTGGGAGGCTGAGGCAAGAGGATCATTGTGAGTTTGAGACCAGCCTGGGCTACAAAGTGAGCTCAAGGCCAGCCTGAACTGCATAGCGAGACCCTGTCTCAAAAAGACAAAAAGAGAAACTCCATCTGGCTCAGTATTAGGTCTTTTTGAAGCTGGGGACTGTGAGGAACGCCCTGTAATTAAGGGTTAAGGTTAGCCGCACATGCTGGTGTTAAGACAAGATGTTAGCTTGTAACCTGGTGCGTTCGCAGAATTTATAGTGTTGCCTTATTTTCCCTTCAATCTGATCAGAGTTTAGTTGTGGTAATACCCATTTACCTCTTTATGACTCCCTTTTTTGCTTTTCTACTGTTTATTTTTGTTTTCTCAGGAATTTCACATTTAAGTTACAGTGGCCTCTAAGTTAATGTTTCCTTTGTCATTATGCTCATTAAGTTTTGGTTTTTGGGCTTTTTTCTGGTACTGGGCATCAAACTCAGGACCTTGTGCGTGTGCTGCTGATCTGTATCTCCGGCCCCTGTGCTCCCTAAGTTTTAGGAAATACACTTGATGTAAATGGTCTATAAGTGCACACCCCCGCCATGAGAAGTCGGTGAAGTTTGTAATCTTGTTTCCTCCATGTGGATGAAGACAATCCCTGTTTCTTCCTGTC